CTCTGGGCTACATGAGTTGAGACCATCCTCTGGGTTCATACTAACTCATGAGCAGTGCCGGTGGGTATCCTGAGGCAATTCCCTGTGACTCCCTCACTGCATAGCCACCAAGCCTACAGCTTGTCCACAAATATTTAATAGGGGCCAGTTCTTAAGCCAAGAGGAATTATTCCATGACTTCAGCTACTGACATAGGCTATTCCATGAGATATTTTGGAAAAACTTCTCAGCATCCCACAAATATCCCCAGTAGGTGGTCTGGAGGCTCCCTACCCACTCTGCCAGTATGTTGGCGCTTTAGCCATGAAGTCCTGAGTGGAAGAATCTCTGGCAACTCACAAAGGTTCTCTTTAGACATCCTGGAATCAGGGCCCATTCATGACCTACTTTCAGGGGATATGGAAGGAACGAGATTACAGGGATCCGCTCATCCAATGACAGTTTCACAGTATCTGTGGCTGGACAAGAAAACACCCAGTCTGGGTTTCAGTAACCAGTGTGATTTGTATGGCAGCAAGACAGAAGTTTTCTAGGAAAATGCAGAGTGTGGAAGGCTGTAGAAGCCATCCTCACCTCCAAAGCAGATGGGTTAGCGTAGATTCATTTCAGGTCTGTGCTCCGAACCTTGGAGTGACCTTGTAGCTTTGCCCATAGCACATATCTTGCCTTCTCCAGTTCTACGGGTGAGAGGACAAGGGCCACAGTCTCTTTCCCTAGTGGGGTCCCAAAGGATCCCAAAGCGGGATGTGTTCTCACAGCAGGCATCCAACAAATGCCCACTATAAAGACAGGTGCTTAAGCTTTCTTATTGTGGAATCTTATTGTGTATATATATGTTTGTCATTTCTCTGCCTCATTTCTCTCCACCCAAGTAAGGTTTTACTTTCCATATCATCTACCTCATTTCCTTTTTGAAGCTAAGCGTTAGAATTGGCCCATAGAAGTACTCAATAAATAACTTCTCTGGTGAAGTGCCACTCAGAGAGTTCTTTTTCCATTTTTTTTCTCTACTGAGAGATGAGTCTACTTATTTTTCTAACCCCAAAGCCACCGATATTTGGCCCATTTTCTTTAATTCAGGGCATCCATGACTTTCTATTACCAAGAAAACCTGTTTGTTGCGCAACAATCCAAGTGGATTGTCCTGAGGCTCTTGGGTGAACAGCGGTCCATTCAAGATGCTACAAATAAGCAATAGTTTGAAGGGATGACTTGCCTCTATGTGCTTCTCGGGGCTGTTCAGTTTGATATTTTATCCTGGGAAATTCTTCACCTATGGGACAACTAAACTACATTCCATTCCTGGGAAGAATTTAGGAGTTGGATATACAGTTCCCATTAGTTATCTAGTATTATTTTTATTGCATACAATGATGAATAAGGGCTCTTTTATATTTCAGGAGCATCCAATCTCACTGTAAAGATTATATATATATATATATATATATATAAAAGTGCATGCTCATTATTCCATATAAGGTTGCAAAAGTAGAAATGGAAAGTAAGAAAGTAGGTTGGATCAACCCCCCCCCCTTCCAAATCACAGGCTTCATAAGCTTCATGGCAAAGCTTCATGGATACTAACTAAAGCAATCAACTCTGTTAACAACCTCCCCCAGGTATCCCAAGTGAAATAGCAGCTGTGAAGAGGGTCAACTAGAAGGGGTCTCATCCTGCCAGCTAAGAGAGAGCTGGAAATCCCTTTCCATGCTATAATGTGAGTTTGGACATGTTCCCAGGCCACTCAGCGTACTCTAGGAACATATGAGAAGAGAGCAGGACGTGTGAGTCATGAGGGGGAAATGTAAAGACCACAATCTGGGCAGCACTTCCTCTGCAGCCCAAATATGGTGATTTCAAGCATCCTTTTTCTTCAGCATCAGTCCTGGGGTCAGCTGGAGGCAAAAGAACAGTGACAGCTCATTGGCTTGGGTACAGGGCTGATCCAAAAAGTGTAACACCAACATTTTTTTTTGACGAAGGAGTCTTGGCTACCTCCTCCTCCTGTCCTAAGCTCCACAAACCTTGCACATAAACTACTGGAATAAATGTGTGTTAATTTCTGTTTGGGTGGAGAACTGTTTTAAAAAGGTGAATCTGAAATCTTGCTATACAGAAGAATCACATCCCTTAGCCATTTCCAGATGCTGACTTGGGCCAATTTTGCAGCATGAGAATCATCTGAGAGTATGAAAGTGTAGCCTAGTCCTACAGTGGAAGATTCTGATTTGGTAGGTCTGTGGTGTGACCCCAGGACCTGCAATTTTAAAGCGATTCTGATCCCTAGCTAGGTTTGGGGTCAACTCGCATGCATGAGGCAGCTTCTGAGAAGGTCTCGATGATCTCATATGACCTTGTGTATAATCCCCTCCTGTACTGTATAGGGTTGGTCTTTGTGGTGAACCGAATTCAGCAGAAATGATGGAATATCACTTCCAAGATTAGCTCATGAAGGACTGTGGTTTCCTTTTGCGCTCCTACTCTCTCATTCCCTTTTGAATCACTGACTCTAGGGGAAACCAACTACTATGTCTTAAGGATTTTGGGCAGCATATGGAGAGATCATGTAGACGGTAATAGATGGTTCCACCCAGAATAAACCCACACTTACATGGCCAGGGAATCTATAAAAAAAGAGCCGTGGACATGCAATGGAGAAAGGAAAGTCTCTTCAACATATGGTACTGGGAAAACTGGACAGCCACATGCAAAAGGATGACAGTAGACCACTAGCGCATTGAAGATACAAAATCTAACTCAAAATGGACTAAAGACTTAGATGTAGGACATGAAACCATAAAACACATAGAAGAAAAACAGTAAGGTAATCTACAACATTGGCTTCAATGATGTCTTTGGGAACGGGACACCACAGCAAAAAAAAAAAAAACCCAAAGCAACAATAAACAAATAGGACTACAGCAAACTAAAAAGGTTTTGCACAATAAAAGAAACTCATTAAAATGAAAAAACCCTACGAGGGGAAGAAAATATTTGCACATCATGTATCTTCTAAGGGGCTAATATCTACAAAGAACTCAAGCAACTCAACAAGAAAACGGCCCAATTAAAAGTCACGAGAGTTAAATAAACACTTAAAAAAGACATACAGATGACCTACAGGCACATAAAAAATGTTTACCATCATTTATCACGAGAAAAGGCAAATCAAAACCAGACCGAGATACCATCTCACACTTGTGAGAATGGACCATATAAAAACGGCCAGAGGTCCTCCCTGGTGGCGCAATGGGTTAAAAGCACAGCACTAAGAAGCTTAAGCCGCTTCCTCTCGAGTTCAATTCCTGCCTTCCCCCCGGAGGTGACCACATGGCGAGGCAGACCTCTCCTGACCAGCCCGCTGCTCCCCTCAGCAGTGTACTTAGTCCATCTGCCAGTTCTGCTGCCCACTCTGTCTCTGGTGAATCCTCTCACCCTCTGCATCTCTGGCCTGTACCCCGGTTCTGTATGAATAAATAAATCTTTAAAAAAAAAAAAGGCCAGAAATGACAAATGTCGGCGAGGGTGTGGCTTATTGAAAGGAACCCTGGTACACTGGTGGGAGGGCAGACTGGTCCAGATCCTGTGGAAAACTGGAGGGTTCTCAAAATATTAAAAGAAGGTCTCCCATCCGATCCAGCAGTTCCAGGATGCAAGAACACTAGTTCAAAAGAATACATGCATTCCTGTGTTCACTGCAGCCCAATTTACAATAGCCAGGTTATGGAAACACCCTAAATGTCCATCAGCAGATGGAGGGGGCATTAAGAAGATGTGGTACAGACACACAATGGAATTCCACTCAGCTAAAAATGAAAGATAAACTCTTGCCATCTGCGACAGCATAGAAGGAACTGGAGGGCCTCTTGCTAAGTGAGATAAATCAGGAGGAGAAAGACAACATGGATAATTTCACTCATGTGTGGAATATAGAGATACAAAACAAAGGGTCAGATAAAACCAAATCAAAACAGAACTAGAATTTGACTGTAAAACTGAGGCTCCCAGAGGGGTGTGGGGGTGTGAGGCAAAGGACAGGGTGGACTACGGCTGCTTCGACGGTGGGTGTGGAGTGACAACTTACATCTGAAGAGTTACGAACTTGTACATCTGAGACATTGTGCTGTAAATCAACCTTACTTCAGTTAAAAAGAAAGAAAGAAAGGGCCCTTCCTGGTGGCCAGCTGGTTAAAGCATAGCACTAAGAAGCTAAAGCCACTGCACCATGAGCTCGGTCCCCAACTGGAGGTGACCCATATGGCACAGCAGACCTCTCCTGACCCACCCGCTGCTCCCCTCAGCAGTGTACTTCCTCCATCTGCCTGTTCTGCTCCCCACTCTGTCTCTGGTGAAGCCTCTCACCGCCCCTGCACCTCTGGCCTGTACCCCAGTTCTGTTTGCATAAATAAATTAAATCTTAAAAAAAAAAGAGAGAGAGAAAGAAAGAAAGAAAGAAAAAAAAAGATAGAGCAGACACCCAGAAAGAAACAATTCTGCCAACAGCCACGACTGAACTCGGAGCCGGCTGATGTCAGTGATGGCCTGAGACCCAGCCGTCAGCTCGCTAAGCAGTTCAGAAACCCTGTCAGATAACAGCTGCTTGTTCTTTGAAGCTGCAAAATCTGGGCGCAACTTGTTACACAGAAACTGATGAGTAAAACATTCCCACGCCCAGAAAACAGCCTCCTGCCCCTGGCACAGAGGCCTTTCCTGCCACCTTTTCTGCTTCACTTCCAGATTCACACCGTCCTGCTGAGCAGTACCTGCCTGCTGAGCCCCTTCACACCTGTGCCTTGGCCCGAGCCATCCTCTGTGTCTGCAGTGCCCTTTTCCCAGGGATGGGGCCCCCTTCTCATGGGATCCTCCCCTCAGCAGCTCCTGCTCCAAATCAAGTTTCCCCTTCTGAGTGCCCGTAGGTACTTCTTGGTAGAGTGGGTGAAAAGAGTTAGGCGAAGAAGGAAAACAGTCGCGGGAAGGAGTCATCAAGAGCACACGCTTGCCTCTATTTGGTTGATGAGTGAGTTGTCAAATTTGAACCCAGGAATCCTTTTGTCGCTGCAGACCACGCCCACATCCTCCGTGTGCTTGCAGTCGGTGACACCCCAGCCATTGGAGGAGCAGGCTGCGAGCGTGGCCTCTTTGCCAGTGCAGTGGACATTGTCCAGCCAGATGGGTCCTGCAGGGAGCAGAGAAGAGAGCAATCAAGCATCATGTTAAGGTAAATTTGAGCCTTTGGGGGATCAATGTCTTACATGAAGAGAGAACTTTGTGCAGTCGCTCACACATGAAGATAAGCATCCTGTTCTGGGCTGTCTGGGCTCCCCTGCCAGAGCAGGGCTGATGTGTTTTGGAGACGTGGAAGGTGGGACATGATGAGGATAGAAGTCAGGTTTAAGTCTGGAAATTGCATGATTCAGGGAGAAGAAAGAGGACTTTGAACATTTAGCACGGTTTGAACTCTGGTCCAGCCACTTAGCTGTAGGACCTGAATTTCAGGGATACGTGGTCCAGAGGTATTCAGCAATGGTATTGATGGTGATATTAATGCCCAGCTTCACTTGCTTCCTGGGCATTCACCTGATTAGCACAAAGTACCCAGCTCAGCAAGCAAGTGCCAGAGGGTTAACTATAATAGGTATCACTCCTACCCACTAGGATAGGTACTACCCAAAGACAGAAAACACAAGTATTGGAAAAGTGGAAAAATTGGAACTTTGGGCACTATTGGTGGGAATGTAAAATGGTGCAACCTCTATGGAAAACAATTTGACATTCCTCAAGAAATGAAAAACAGAATTACTATATCATCCAAAATTTCCACTTCTGGGTATATGCCCCAAAGAATTGAAAGCAAGGTCTCCAAGAGATATTTGCATTACAGGATCATTCACTATAGCCAAAAGGTAGACACACAATCAATAAATGATAGTAAATATATATGGTGTATATATACACACATGGTATACACACACACTAGTATATTATTCAGTCATAAAAAGGAAGGAACTTCTGACACATTCTACAATATGATGACACTTCTACACATTCACTACATTGCAATAAGTGAAACTGGTAAGAAGAAAAGATACTATTTGATGCATTATATGAGCTATCCAGAGAAGTTAACTTTACAGACACAGAAAGCAGATGGTGGTAGCCAGAGCTGGGTGGAAGGGGAGTGGGAAGCTGGAATGGGTGTAGTCTCAGTTTTGCAAAAAGAGAAAAGTCCTGCAGATGGGTTGCATGACAATGTGAACAGAATCGCTGAACTGTGCAATTTGCTATATGTCTTTACAATTTAGAATTTTGCAAGGTGCTAGAGGGTTCTCAAATAGTAAGTGCCTTACACTTACTATTTGAGAGTGTAAGTGCCTTACAAAATGAAAGGGGGAAAAATAGTCAAACATTTCAGTCTACTTCTGGCTCCCCTTGGTCCCCAGGTGACCTGGGGTCAAATCCCCACTGCTTCCTTGTCAGGCACCAGGTGACTGGCCAGCTGCTTACTCGACCTATTTCCCATTTCTAAGGTAAGAACAATGATAGTCCCACACCACAGAGAATCAATGTTCAACCTTCCTCAGAAAAACACTGAATTCCACTGCTTCCAGGAGAATTGCTGCAGGAGAGAGCAGACACCTCCATTACACAGATAGGAAAATCTCGGAGCACTGGGGCCCCTCGAGGTGAGGGAGTAGATGGGGCGCAGTCTCCTTCCTCTGAGGTCCCCCAGAAACGTATATACTTGCGGAATTGCTGGTCTGGTTTCAGATGAGGGGCCTTAGGAAGACTGTTGGGAACAAAGAGCTTACAGAAAACATCTGGGCTGAGGTTTTCCAACTGGTTTCTCAATTTGGCCTAGTTTCCAAGTCAAGTCGTCAAGCTCTGCTGAAACATATGCTCCCTAATCGCTTGCCGTTTCAACAACAAACCGCTGTTTGTCTTGTTAAGTACTAGCAACGGAAAAGACCCTCCACGTTTGAAGCCACGGTGCATCAGGGCTGCCGAGGGCCGGCTCCTGCCGGCCTGCTCCGCTTTTTTTTTTTTTTTTTAAAGATTTATTTATTTATACATACAGAACTGGGGTACAGGCCAGAGGTGCAGGGGCGGCAAGAGGATTCACCAGAGACAGAGTGGGGAGCAGAACAGGCAGATCGACGAAGTACACTGCTGAGGGGAGCAGCGGGCGGGTCAGGAGAGGTCTGCCGCGCCATGTGGGTCACCTCTGGAGCTGGGGATCGAACTCATGCGGAAGTGACTTTAGCTTCTCAGTGCTGTGCTTTAACCCGCTGCGCCACCAGGGAGGGCCCTGCTCTGCTTTTTGATAAAGAAACATTCTAAGCCAGCACCCTGGAGCGCCAATGGCCCTAAGCCACCCCAAGGTGGCATCAACAACCCTATCTTTTCCTGGCAGTTCCTTTCTTAGGAGGCTGAAATGCGTATTTCCACTTGGCCCAGGGTAGTATCAGCCACCCTGTATGGTATACTTATTTGGCCTGCTTCAGGCAATTTTTTTTTGTCTGCATAATACCTACCAACTATGGTCCTGGCTGCAGGGCCCGGCTCGGGGGGTCTGCCTGCTGGGGGGCAGGCTGGTTCTGGGCTCCCCAGATGTCACCTGGGAGCTGCTAGGGGAGCGGCACTGGCAGCCCTGGGCTCAAACCCAGGCCACAAAGAGTAACTCAATCAGCAATCAACAAACTCCACTTTATTCTGTCTCCCCTCCACTCCAAGAAATGTTCCCCCTGATGAGAGAGGAAGTCATTAAGAAGGCATTTAGGGGCCCTCCCTGGTGGCGCAGCGGGTCAGGAAGCAGCACTGCAAGCTGGCCGCAGCCACTTCAGTGCAAGCTTGATCCCTTGCCCCGGAGGTGACCCACATGTCACAGCAGACCTTTCCTGTCTCACCCTCTGCTCCCCTCAGTGGTGAACGTCATTGACCTGCCTGTTCTGCTCTGTCTCTGGTGAAGTCTCTCGCACCCCTGCACTTCTGGCCTGTACCCCAGTTCTGTATGCATAAATACACCTTTAAAAAGGGGGTATTTAGAAGCTAAAGATCATAGCTGACATTCCATTTGGATGCCAAGGTGCTCCCCTGGGCTGTGCTGGCAATGAAAGTGTGCAAGGGAGAATCTTCAGGGCCCTTGGGCTTTGTCCTTCTAACCTGAAGAAATGGGGTGGGATGTGATCAGGAGTGGGAATCAGAAGTGATCTCAGATCTGAAGAGAGGTAAAGGCCCATCTGGAGGGTAGAACTAGGGTGGCTGTCCCTCTAGAACCCTCTAAAAGGGCCCATGAATTCCCTGAGCTCAGAGATGTTTCAGGAAAGGGACCTGATGACAGGCTAGTGGTAAAGCCCAGGAGGGCTGTGGGTGCTCACCTGGCTTCATGGCAGTCTGAACTTGAGAGGACTAGATGACAGTGACGAGGGCTTCTTACCTGCTCAGCTGCCTCCTCTCCCCTTCACAAGACTGGCTGGTTAGACGCCCTGGGAACATACCCAGCACCCTCTCTGGTCGATAGCCCAGGTACTATCTGCCAACTATTTTTAATAACCTCCCACATCAAAATGAATAACGCAGTGCCCTCTGTGTACCCAGGGCTCAAAATGCTAAACTGACGCCAGTGAAATTAAAATTCACTTATATTGAAAAGTGATGTAAACCACTTTATGTGGACGGCATCATCCTTACAGCTTAAAGTTTTCAGCATCTGTCTCTCCCTTCCTCTCTTTGGTATCCCTCTGCCAGGTCTGGGTGGTTTCAGGAGCCACACGTACCCTTGGCCTTTGGTCACGATGGCCTCTCTCTGACGACTTCCTGCACCCACTTTCAGCTAGTTCCCAAAGCCAGACTTGGATCTGGTCATTGCCCACCTCCATTCCAGCCCTCTACACTGCACCCTCCTCCCCCTGCCCCTTCTAGCATATTCCTACTATTGTACTCTCAACAGAGACCCATAATTAATCTATTCTAGCAGCTTCCACTGCCCTTCACTATCTCCTTACCCAGTTTGGATCCCATGGACTATGGTTTTAATTTATCCCTTCCACATTCCGTCTTCTCCCTTGAACTTCATTCCCTTCATCACCCTGGATGGCAGTCTCCACCAGGTTAACCCCCTCTCCAGTTGCCTCATGCCTGCTTCTGGGCAGACAAATAAGAAGGGGGGGGAAAACCCACCTACCTTGTCTGACTACAGGTATATTTTAAGTTTGGGAAGAAATAAAGTAGTCACTATATATAAAAAAAAAAAAAAACCATCCACATTGGAAAGTACTTAATATAAAATAATTAGGTTTAGGGAACCTGGAGTAGAAAATATACATCTGACGTTATCCCTGGATGGTTCCACTAGGAGAATAAACAGAGATGTGGAAGTTTGGAGAAGTGTCGAATTTTTGTGAGGAAGACAGGAAGTAGGTTTAAAAGCCCCTCATTTGTTAAACTCATTTTTGCTGTTTTGCTCTTGTCACTACGAAGGAACCCAGAGCCAGTTTCAGCCAGAACATTCTACTGAAAAGCACGGTCTCTTAATTCCATTATTCAAACAGGAAATATTCGGTTCCACAGAAGTGCGGTGTGTGCAATGTCATTTCCTTGCTCCATAATTTTCTAGAATAACAGAAAGCAAGGGTTGGAGGAATTGTAACAACAGTCTCTTCCAATGACTCCCAAACTTGGCGACATTTGTAATCACCTGGGAGATTCCAGAGCTTTCCTGGCCCAAACTCCAGTTCAGACCTGTCAACCCGCACGCAGGGATTAGCGTTCTCAAGAGACAGCGACACGTCTGGCAGACGTGACTCCGTCACCCAGGGCAGGTCGGTCATTCTGCAGCCAGACTCAGGCTGAGCAGCAGCCTGCCAGGTGCCAGGGCCACTTGCTTTACTAACCTGGAGCTGGGGGTACTTAGCTCCTCGCTCTGTGTGTGAATAACGCCCTTCACCCTTCCCTGCTACCCACTGATGGCACAGCTCTGAGAGCTTCAGTAGTTCTTAGAGACCTCAAGTCCATGTGGGAAAACCGAGGCTACAGAGGACAAGTGTCTTCCTCTAAAGCAGCAGTTAGATGATCAGCGCCAGGCCTGAACTCAAGGTTCTGGGCTCCAGCACCTACCCTCCATCAAAGCACTTACTGAAATTATTATTATTATTTTTCTTTATTTATTACAAAGTTTATTTTTACATCATTTTGCCCATTTTTTTTCCCATCTCGATTGTAATCCCCGCGGGTTTCCCATCACCAGAAAT